TTACCGAGGCCGCGAAGCGGCGAGGTAAATTATCCACTACTAGCCACCGACACTGAGGTGAATAATTGTTTTAGTATATACTAAAACAGTGAGATAATTGAGCACAAAAATGATGATTTTTAACTCATTTACTGTTGCCAACGATTACAATTTTGGCGCGCGATGACCGAACGGCCGCGGTCGTCGCTTTTTCTTAGCTTTTTCTTAGCTCTTGCGGGGAAGTTTCTTCAAAAGGAGTTGTGAATTCTTTTTGTATTTAAAATAATTCTGTAAAGAAGATTATTAAATTTAGTTTTAAGCTTATTTATGAACAAGTCAACTAAATAAAGTAACGTTAAGCTTGATTTGCATTTGTAAACAAAAAACTTTTTCACCGGTGTTATGGATAAATTCAAGTCAAAAAGACAAAAAGCTTTACCTGTTAAAACTTCCAAACCGAACTTCGTCACCTTCTTCATGTATTTTGGAAATAGCTTGCTTGATTAGTTGTGAAATTTCTTAGTTTGTTATGGCTGCAAACCGGGAGTTTGGCGTCGCTCGCTCGGAGGAACTGAAGGTGAATCAGTGAATAGTGCAGGATATTCACTGATTGAGTAGCCAATCCACCTTTTTAGTATACAGCTATTTCGAGAAAGGTTGTCGGAAAAAATGTGCACCCGACAATCCCGATAGGTAATATGGGATATGATCAACACACTGTTCCTGACACTATAGCTGTCGAACTTACTTTTGTTGCTTTCTTTTAGCACCCGCAAACATACTTCCGTCGCCTCTCGTGTCATTCTTTCAAACTTCTTTGAAAAACAGTGAATTCAAAACCACCCACAATATCTTCCGGGATTGTCGCGTGCACTTTTTCCGACAACCTTTTTCGAAATAGCTGTATACTAAAGTCTATTAGTCGCAGTGGAAAACCGTCAAGAAGAAACTAATCGAGGTAACGGGCGCAAGAAGGAGGTGCCTCGTAATAAAGTCAGTTAAGACCGGTGTACAAGAATGTAGTCAATTTTTTTTGTAAATTATTGCAACTAAAAAGAGCCATATGTACCTAAGAGCTATTCAAGCTGTTTTATTACTCAATTTTGTTACGGACAGAAGATTTTTCATTTAAACATAATCATAACTTATCCCTGATAAAATGACACTCTCAACCCTTCGCATTTTTCCATGAGCGATTTTGAGAACTAAAATTAACCGACTTTTTTACGGTCTTAAATATTAGGTAATGATGTAATTTGAGGCTGCCTTATATTTTTTCAAAATGTGATCATGGAAGAAATAATCCCAAATAAAACAAAAAAGCTGGAATAACATTATCCACCCCCGGTGGGACTCGAACCCACAACCCACAGTCCGACACGCTAGTCCATTGCGCCACTGGGGCAACACGAGCATATAACTTTCTAATAGATCTAAAATTTTAATAAAATTGGACATTTTTTACTCTGGGATAGCAAAATATTTACAGTTCTTTCATCAATAACGTGCTATCTACCTGCTTACTTAGTATGAAGTACCAATTTGTTTATATAATTAGTGTAGTTCAGTTCAATTAACTGCTAAAACGATCGCAGAAAAAATATTTTTTTAGCTAACTAAACGCAGCAAAAGCTTAACAAACGATACTTAAATATTTATATCTCTTACACGCTCTCATCTTTTTTACGAGCTCTCAAACCTTCGCGCGCCGTGAAAAATTTTCTTCACTCTTTATCTTCTATATTTCTCAATCGTTCTCATATCCCTCGTACACTCTCATATCTCTGACGAAAACGTATAGATTGTATTTCTCAAACTTTCTTATATTTCTCGTCACTCTCATATCTCTGATGAGAACTTACTGGATTTCTCAAGGGTCCTTATATCTCTGCGCACTCTCATATCTCTGACGCATCCTTATATTTTTTAGCCTGAGAAAACAGCCGACGCTTGGTGGCGCTACCACTGGTTTCCCCGCCAAATGACGTCTGAGAAACTCGCGCAGAAATTCCATACTGATGACGCGTTACTACCCAGATCTGGGTACTACTTCTGATTGGTCGTGCCGTGTGGGAAATTTGATTCAACCAATCAGAAGCACTACCCATGTGTAGGTAGTGAAGCGTCATCAGTATGGAATTTCTGCGCTTGTTTCTCAGACGTCTTTTGGTGGGGAAACCAGTGGTAGCGTCGCCAAATGTCGGCTGTTTTCTCAGGCTATATATTTTTAAAGTGTTTTCATCTGTCGCACACTCTCATGTTTCTGACGCGCTCTCATGCTTCTCAAGCGTTTTCATATCTCTCACACGCTCTCACATATCTCATATATCTCTCACATATTCTTACAGCTCTCTTGCACTCTTTTAACTCACTCGCGCTCTTATAACCTCTCATGCTCACACTTTGTCATTTCCCACGCGCCATTGTACGTTTCACTTTCTCACAAATTTCTTACACATCCTCACACTTCTCACGCACTCTCACATTTCCCTCGCGCTCTTACATCCGATCACGCTTGTTTCTTGCGCCTCTCACGTGCTCAAAGTCAGCGATATTGAGAGCTGGAAAAAATGCTATCAACAGAGGCAACATGCATCACTGACCCAAATATCGTTACAATACATTCAGGTTGAGGGACAAGCTGTTTTACCGATCCGATGGATGCCCCCAGAGGCCTTGCTGCTGGGAAAGTTTACAGTGGAGTCGGACATTTACTCATTCGGCGTCCTCTTGTGGGAAATTTACACCCTTGCATTACAGCCGTATTACGGATATACAAATGAAGAAGTTGTGGAATTCATTAAAAAGGTTGGTGGGACCTTTTGCTCCGTAGCTAACCTGCAAGCAGGCTCACTTGTGCGAGCGACCCATTCTTTTCGCGCTCTGTGGGCTCTGCTGCCAAAATTTTCTTCGAACTCACAATTGAGCCTGCTCGCAAACGCTACAATAGTTACTCTTCTAGGGGTAAGGTGGAGAGGGGGGGGGGGGGGGGGGGTGGTTGTACGATTTGGTCTTTTTTTTTGGTAATAACCTATCGTGGAAGTACTCACCTCAACGATTGAATCATTTTGTTTGTTTTCCACTTCAACAGCAGACGTGATGTTTTCCTTCCTTTTAATAGTGTTTTGTGGTGATGTATGCTCTCTTAATTGGCCGTCTTCCCCCCATACTTCCAGGCTCGGTCCCCAGCCCTTGATGCGACCCCGATACTCCCCACTTGACGCTGGTCGGGATGGAGAGTACCGCGCGCGCATAGGGACTCCCAAGGCTTGAGACTGAGCTTACTTTGCTTTCAGTTGGTATATGAGGATCATTCATGGCGTAAAACATCATTTAAGGTGGCTTCATCATTAATACTGGAGCATTTAGCTGCG